CCAATACTTCTGTTCGACACTGTATGTAAATAAGCAAAAATAAATAGTAATTCCCATAAAAAATTGTAATTAGTGCAAAATCTAAAAAAGGATATTTGTTCAACAAAGCGTATGAGTAACACATATCTATGTTTATGTGTGTTAAACTAGTGTTAAAAGTATTGAAAATGGTAAAATAATATAAAGGGCACTGAAAATTTTATTAAAAAGCTATTGGGCGCCCGAATGAAATTCCACCAAAAACAATATCACTTGGTGGACACCGACATCGAAAGTAATGTAAATTCACTAATATTTAATAATGATACCTTGTATCTAACCGCAACTGTATGTACATATGTATATGTGTATGTGCATGGTACGTGTTTACGTTTGTTTGTATCTGCATACGAACATATGTAAGGCGCAACAAATTTAATTTAAAAAAAAATATGTACATTTTGTTACCTGCATATATGTACATATGTGCATTAGGCTGCACCACCTTCCATACAAAAAAAAAGCGATACTTTTTATCGTAATTATAAAATGTATTAAATTTTAAGTCTTCCGCTAAAATATTAAAAAAAAATACTAAGATTTACGTGAGCTCGGCCGATTTAATATGTACCTGCAAAAAAAAAAATGAAAAATCACCACAGCTGGTAGAATAGTTAAGGCTTAAAGAGGCCGCATAAAAGTGTTAAAAAAATGTATCAAACGAAATCAATATAAAAAGATTTTTGGAGGTATTTTCAAATCGGTTCACGTAAATCTTAATATTTTTCCGAAATATTTTGGTGAAAGTTTTAAGTGTTTTCCGCAAAAATTTTCATTAAAAACGAACAAGCTCAATAAAATTGTTGAATATAAAAGTTTTAAAATATAATCAATTTTACAATCATATTTTACAATACATAAAAACCAATCATTTTTCTTAGTGAGACATCCTGATGCGTGCATGCAACGTACATAAAAATGTCATATCAAACGCTTTTGTTTTTTTAAAAGCCAATTAAAAATATTTAAAAAATTTTAAATTCTTAGTTGCGAATTTCATTTTTTTATTACAAACGGTAGCCAACTTAATGTTGCGATAACTGGTTTTAAATTCTATTAGATTTTGACTGCGTAAAGTACCGACTTTTGCACAAAGCTAAATCTTGAAAGAAACTGAGTGCGTTTCCATATTAAGGTGGCGATATGTACATATGTATGAATGTATGTACGAGAATATCACATAGAACAATTGTGTAAACATGAGAATTATAGCAAGGGCTTACATATATTCAATACCCTCTATCTACAATTCTCACGAAAACTACTTTGTGATGTTAGAGCCCATCTGGGTCTTACCTGTCATCACTTTTGTTAATTCTGACTTTGTAATTTAATAGTGAATTTTTCTGTTAAGCGTTATACAAGGTCTGCATTAATATCACCGATGACAGTTAAGTCTTAGGCGGAATTTATATCAGAATCTCATTTTCGGAAAAGTGTAGATAGAGGGTATTGAATATAAGCCCTCGATATGCTCATATTATACGTACACGTCAATATGTATATATGTATATACACTAGGGCAGGGATGGGCAGATTTTTGGCTCTTAAAGCAGTCAAAGAGCCAGCAAGTGCTACGCAAGACGCAAATCAGTTCTCAGGGTAAAAAATACATTAAAATCATCATATACATACATATCGTCACTAGACACCAAAAAGTTGATTTGTCTGACCACCCTAATGTTTTATAAAAGCAAATACAAAGAGTTATGAGTTTATTTAACTTGCACTTCAAGCTGATTATTTTTAGCAAGCATACTGAGGTCATTGGAGTGCAGACGTATTATTTTGTAATAAAATGAATTAGTCAATGCTACAGTATTTGATGAAATTTGTGAAAAGTTTGCAAAACATTTTTCATGAGTTTACAATTTCATATTTTCTGGAAAATTTGAAGTGTTTCACAGGTTGGCCTATCTCATTGGGTACCGATTTTAAATCGTATGATTTTCATATTTGGCCTCTGTGTAAAGGCGAAGTCACACGATTGCTGCATTTCTACATATTTGTACATTTTGACAGTTACAGAGTGGTGCACATTTTTTTATTGAGCTGAACTTATTCTCGATAAAAATTATTTGTGACGACACCTTTCTGTGACTGTCAAAATGTATAAATCTGTACAAATGCACCTTTAATGAATAATTCCAAATATGTATATCTTTATCATAATGAAATTTTACTTCGCATTAATTTTTACAATATTTACTACATGTCTTATATTGCCTTATATATTATTTTTGTTTAATTTTTTTTATTCACTGATATCAGCACTTATCAGTTCAAAGTACTTACTAACTGTAAAAAGAAATTTCCGTTCTGCGCACCCTCGTATAATGAACTGTAAATACAATTAAAGGCCAGCAACAGCAGAGACCGATTTTTACTACCCGTTAGCCGGCTCTTGCAGCTCGCCTACTACGTATGATTGCGATAACAATTACAACAACCACAACGAAAACAACAATAACTGAATGCACAATTCGTATACGAAGAGCAGAGCGAAAAAGATATGCAGTGGCGTTTGTTGCATTTATTTACGTTTTCGGTCGTCAACCTGCCCAATGTAGTTGTTGTTTGCACATTTTGAGCGGGAAAAGTGATAATAGGCAGCATGTGGCGCAATTAACCCCCCACAACAAGCAAATGGAGGAGGGAAACATAGGCGAAAGCAGTAATTGATTTGAAAGAGCGAAAACCAAATGACCGAACAACCGGTAGAACGAATGCTACCGAATAGCAGAGGGGGGATAGAAAGGCGGAAAGAGAAACTGAAATAATAGGAAGTGTATGAATTGAGTGGAGTAAAGTGAACAAGAGAGCGCACATGGGGAGCAGCAGCAGCAGCAGCAGATGGGGCAGGATTCATAGGAATTTTATGTATGTCTTTAAAGGATTGTATCATCGCTACGTCAAGCGTAAGTTCAATTTTTTAAAGATATTTTCACGGGGGAAAAGATATACACATACATATGTATCTAACCTGTTTCCTCTATTCTTGCACACGCTGCTCCTAATTGAGTTCCACTGAAAAATTCCTGCAAATAGACAGGAGGATATTCTCGTCGGCCTCTTCAAGTGCAAGCAAGTGTATGTATGTATGTATGTATGTGCGTGGCGCACCCTTTTTACACAATCAAGCAGTTGGTCACTAAAATCAGTTAAAATTTCACTATGTCGAATTATCCACTATTCAATTTAATCCACTTTTAAGCACAATTTATGTTTGGCGGTCTATAAAATGATTGCTCACACTTTTTTTCTTCACTTCAGATATGTACAACCACACTTGTATCCACATACACCTAACACCAAAAACATATAAATTTAGCTGACAAGCGCTCACTGTGTTCAAAACAACTGCACAACGTGAAAGCTCAAGAACGACTGACTTGAAAGCCGCCAATTAAATGACTGAGCCAGTTATGTTAACGCATATAGTAGTGATAGCAGAGTTGGAGCAAGCGCTGGAGCTTCGGTATGCAGCAGCAATTCCAAACATAACGAAAGAACTATTAACGGCTTTCGTCCACCCACTTATCAATCTATGCACTGACTTTTGAGCGCCACATTTGGCTGAGAGAGAAGAACGCGCTCACGGCTCTCACTTAACGGTTTCGTTCAAATATTTCCTCCTATATGCTTATGAGTGTTTGAAATGTTTTTATGAATGCATTTTGAGCTTTTTAGATAGCGAAATTGAAAGCTCAAGAAAAGCTCCTGTTGCATTTAGCCAAGTATCAGTTTTTAGCAGCCTGTAAGAGACTGGATTCGATTTTGAATAATTTTTTGCTCTTCGGTAACCGCTGACGAAATTCCCTGATCAACAATTTTGGAATAACGTTCTGCCAGTTAAATATAGGCCAAAAAGAAATATTCTTTGAAATGTTAGGCTTCATAATTAAATAAATGCCAAAAATGAATGCGGGGGGAATGTGTGAAAGTTCAAAAAGGTAAACCCTCAGTCCCTGGGATTTTTATAAATGGAAAAAATGGAATACCCGGCAGAGGTACGTCAACACGCCGTAACTGGGCAAAACGGGATGCGTGAACCAGTTGTTGTCGTTTTAGATTGAAAATGAGAATTTGTGTGTGAGTTTGTGTGGAAAATTTTAAAATTAAATTGCTTGCAAACGTCAAGAATTTGAAAAATTCTTCTCAGCGGTTCTACCTTCCTATTCTTTTATCATTACCGGAACGACCCAGATTTATATCTGGCCAAGGACTGTCACTCCAGCAACACTCCCCAAAAAGTCTTTGGGGAATTTGTATGCTGCTACAACAACAACAACAACCAAAATCGTTAAGTGAAACTACCTTCTTTTTTGTATCATTACCTTTTATTATTGAATCATGAGCATAGTGTACAAAGCATATCGACTGCTGAGTGGAAGATCGACCTATCTCGGCAGCCAGTTCGAAAACGCCCTATCTCAAAAAACTTTTCAAGAACGCCCTATTTCAGAATTCGTTTCAAAAACGCCCTATCTCAGCTGCCGATTTAAAAACGCCCTATATCAGCCCATTTTCAATACATTTTGAAGTAAGATAGGCTGTTTTTGAACCGAATTCTGAGATAGGGTGTTTTTCAATAAAATTCTGAAATAGGGCGTTCTTGAAAAGTTTTTTTGTGATAGGGCGTTTTCGAACTGACTGCCGAGATAGGCCGATCTTCCACTCAGCAGTCGATATTAAATAAGAAGCAGCAATAAGGCAGCTGATTTGCTTTTTTTCGAGCATATCGCACGCTGTCTTCAAAAGAGTCACAACTCAAAATTTGGCATTTTTGAGATTATGCGCTAACAATGCACACAGAGCTTTTATTTAACTTTCAGCAAAAGCTGGAGCAAACTTTTGTTATAATTTGTTAAAAAAAAAACCTAAGGTAAAGTCGCCCTTGCCCATATGATTATTATCATGTGTAAGAAATAGTTTTTCGCATTTTCTGGCAAACATATTATTTTGAGTTGGTCCTCTTTTGAATACGGTGTGCGATATATTGTCTAAATTGTATTTTTGTTTGCATTTTATTATAAAACGTATTGGAGATATCAGCCTTTCTCAAATTTTATTTCCTGTACCGACTTGTAGGTGAACTGAGGTATATCACGTTGTAATGCAATAAAATTTTTAGTTTTCATGATATACATATCTTATAGCTTCTACCAAAGCCATAAAAAGATCTTTTTGTTTTGTTTTTACAGATTGTCGCCACATAAGTTCTATAATTACTTCGGCAAAGTTTGCAGGAAGCCTATGATATTTTTGATTAAATAATCTTTCCACTATCTTTTTCTGCGCTTTCCTCCGCTCAGAATATACATCGGCTGCGGATGTTAACGGATCCTTTCCACTCGCCTCACTCAACTCACTTTTATTCTGTTTTTTGACACGATATTCATAATTCTCTTGACGAGAAATAATCTTAATGGTGGTACCGTCTCGTATGTGCTTTCCAATAATGGACTCCAACGAATATTCGTCATCTGTGCATAATTCGATCCTAAGCTCTTTGCTTTTATCCTCAACCATAATAATTACTGGATTCTCGTCGAAATTTCTTACTAAGAAGGCGAATGTAATTTTTATTAACAGCCGCTAATAAATGCTTAAAATGGATCCACTTGCCTCTATTGAATTTTCCCTCTCCCAATTTGCTTTCATCAACTAAGACTACTTTTCCCAGACCACCGATTTTGTCATTGTGTTCCAGGTGGTCTAACTGATATGCTATAATAGCTTCCCGGCAGTAACTATACCATCTGATAATTGTCATTATAGACAGTCTATAGGGGTCGTTAGTAAAATCGTCCCGTATCGTTGTCTCTTGAGGAACTCGATATAAAAAGCAGTACATTAAATAGTAAATACGCGCGAAACTCATCCTCCCTCTTTCAAACCAGGTTCCCTTGGCTCTGGAAATGCGGGACATATGCTTGCAGTCTCCCTTGGAGCAAAAGAAATTGCCAGCTTTGTTATAGCCGGGTAAGGTACAATGCATTAATTCCTTATGAATGGGGCATAGTCTACTTCTTGGAAGCAGACCATAATCCTCGGCAAACCCTACGCCCTGTTCATATGTGCTTAATTCGGTTTTGATGCGCTCCAAATTCCACTCCGGCTCTACACGCCGCTTTTTGCGAGGCTTTTCGATGTCTATAAAATAAAGTTTTCAAAATTATTCATTGGTTGCCGAGTGGACAGTATTCTCACCTGAATTACCTTCATCCATCTTGGAATAACTCTTCAATCTGTTTTTAATAACAAATTCACTATTGTAAATGGAAATCTTGTTTTTTACTTTAGCGGCAAGAATAAAGATGTCGGAAATACATCGATACATCGAAGTCCTAATCCTACGACTTTACTGGAGAAGATACGATTCTATCGTACGTTTTGTACCTTTCCGAGTATTTCTGGCATCAATGGCCCGTAGTCATAGTCAAAATAAAGTCGACTTTAAAGTTAGTTGCAGCTTTTTTGACAGATATCCCATTGAAAATTATGTCAAAAAGCTGCAACTATAAAGTCGACTTTATTTTGACTATGACTACGGGCCAATGCTTTTAACTTAATACGGCTTTCCGACGCCACCCTAATTACGTAGTTCTCTCTCTCATTCGCAATTCACACTCTAATTACATGAACGAAAGACACAAGATCACGCCTTCCCGAAAGAAAGAAAAAAGTTATTTTCTAGATGTTGAAATCTCGACGCCATCTTTGTTGTAAGAAGTAAACAACGAAGAGAACAAAAAAACCGCGTAATTGTTGAAGGCATGAATAATCATTTTTATTATGCAAATTCTTCTATAAATCATATCGTTGTTTTAAATTATTCTTTACTTTATGTGTGCACACGTTGTCACAAGCGAAAATTAAGAAAATTGCAGTAAAAAGCCACCACCAAATTGTAAACAACGAACAACTGTAAACAAACGGCTAATGTCCAACTGGCGACTTGCCCAACTTTTTTCCTAAATGCGATTATAACGGGCTACTAAGAAGAAGGCGTGATCTTGTATTTTTGGTTCATGCTCTAATTACCCTTGGAATTTCATTCATTCATTCATCCATTCATTTGTTGCTAATTAAGCTCCAATTCCGGCCCGTCTCCACAGGCAAAAGTTTTTGCCTACCAACTGTCATTTTTATTGCCTGATAAAAATTTTATCAGCGGCAATATTTGTGCGTGGGTATTTTTTATCTTGACAAAAGCATTTATAAGATGGCAATTTTTGCCGGATTTCATCAATTAAAAAGTTAAAAAAAATATGCTATTTCACACCCAAGCAAATAATAACACATATTTTAATAGAAAACAGTTCAATTTTTGCTTTTATATTGAAATATCGATAATGTTGTCTCCACGAAGCTATCGCGCAAATGAAAATGTAGCTATCAAAGTACCAAATTGCTGGCAATATTTATCAAGATAAAAGCTCTGATAATTATTGCTTGCCAAGAGCAATATGCGGTCTCCATGGGCAAAATTTTGGCCTGATAACATTATCAAGATAAAAACTTTTGCCTGTGGAGACAGCAAGTTACCATGCTAATGACGAACAAATCGGTGCCGTTCTAATTTTTATCGGTAATTTATCGAAACTAGCTCACTATAGCACCATGAACCAAAAATACAAGATCACGTAAGAACGCGACGTTGTATTTGTAAAGGCCCGTTTACATACAACTTTAGCGTTGCGTTGGCGTTGGCGTCGCTTCGACAGCTGACTATGAATACATGCATTTATATGAAAGTCTCCATATAACCAAAGTTGGGCAACGCCAACACAACGCAGAAAGATGGCCAACTCTCAACTTTTCGCGCGCGTCGTTCGTCAGCTGTTCTAAATAATCAAAATTATGTGATTTAATTTTAATTTTTAATCAAATGCGGGCAAGAAATATAGTTTTTAATGCAATTATTGATGTAAAAATTTTGATTTATCAGCCGCTAGTATGTTAATTTAGTGACCAAAGTATTCTGTGCTAAGCGTTCATTGTAGCAAGCACGGGCGTTACGCGCGCCGCTGTCAAAGCGACGCCAGCGCCAACGCAACGCCAAAGTTGTATGTGGACGGGCCTTAACTGGTTTTGAGAAAAAAGTTTGCGAAAGCGGGTTCGTCAGCTGAGCGTTTGTTTACATCAAAAGCACCACTATTTTACACTTTTATTCAAGTAAAGAAGAGTTAATTCAACATGACAACACATTTTAAAGCATTTTGTTGCATCATTTTACCTAAACTGTGCGTTTAAAGTGGCTGACAATAATTTTGGCTCATTTTGGTTTTCGTTGTTTTCTTTGCTTTGTTTACTTTTCGCTCGTTTTCCAGTGAAAAAAGATGGCGTAGAACCCGCTCAAAAAATCGACTTTTTTCACTCTCTTGTTCTTACGTGATCTTGTGTCTTTCGTTCATGCTATAGCACGCTTGGCTCAGACCGTGCCATTATTGACCTATTTTACTTCAAATGGCACTTAACTTTTCAAGTTGGCGCAAAGTGCCAAAATGGAACTCTTGAAAAACAAAAATATTTCAATAAATTTTTATGAAATTCTTTGCGTGTACTTCTTTTTCTCAACTTGAATTTTCTAATTTCAATATTTTATACAACTGGTTTATTTTACTTTGGCATTTGACTTTTGATTTCGGCATGTCAAAATCCATGAACCAAAAATACAAGATCACGCCTTCTTCTTAGTAGCCCGTTATAATCGCATTTAGGACAAAAAGTTGGGCGACTTTGACATTAGCCGTTTTTTTGCATTTGTTCGTTTTTTTACAATTTAGTGGTGGCTGTTCACTGCATTTTTTTTTAATTTTCGCTTGTGACAACTTGTGCACACATAAGGTAAATAATAATTTAACACAACGACATGATTTATAGAATTTGCATAATAAAAATGATTATTCATGCGTTCAACAATTACGCGTTTTTTTTTTGTTCTCTTCGTTGTTTACTTCTTACAATAAAGATGGCGTCGAGATTTCGACAGCTAGAAATTAACTTTTTTCTTTCTTTCCTTAAGGCGTGATCTTGTGACTTTCGTTAATGTACTTGAATCATGTAAATCGGGTGCAATTGTCTAGTAAATCGCAAAGAGCAAAACAAAGAATAAAAGGAAAATTGTACCAAAACCTCAGTATATCCAGTAAAAAAACTGTGGTGAAGTCCTTTATGGGGATAAAGTTTCCAGAGATGAAATTTTAGGTAGCACACAATTTCTTACACGCATGGTTGCTTTTCAGCACTCATGAAAGAAACTTAAGAAATATTTGAAAAAAAAGTTCATATAGTACATTAATTTTTGAAAGAAATACCATATAATGTATGTACTCTGGTTAATAATATCAAAAAATGTATTAGAACCACCGTTTAATGTTATATTTGATACAAATTAATATTGCTGCCCCGAACGCTCTGCGCCTTGCCCCTGAATAATAGTTTACTTAAAATTACATCCCTGGTCCTTGTTCTTTCTGTATCTCATCGTGGTGAATTCACATTTCTCAGAAATTTGACAACAAATCAAAACAAAGCGAGTATTTTATTTGCTAATTTTTGCGATTCCTATTGTTTAATGTAAATTTATGTCTTTTTAGGATATGTCGAGCCAACAAAGAAGGCGAAAATTGAGTAATTAGTAATGAAGTAGCAGGCATATTTGGAAAATTATGCCGATAAGCAGGATGGAATTTGGGAAAGTAAGTGCATGGTTGCAGCATATCTATGTATAAAAAGTATTTAATAAAATTGTTTATAGAAATGTTATAAATCGAGTGGCTCATTTACGATGTGCTCCAAACATTTGGCGAACTTTTTTTTCGCCTTTTCAACGTGCTAAGTAACAAGTTAAGAGGACTACCATCACGGGCGGTAAGAAACCGCAAGCAAAGGACAGGCAACCTTCCAGGAAGCTGCCTCCTGTCATCGAGTCGAAGCTGCAGTTCAGCAAGAGCAGGTCAGCAAATTGCTACCCTGATCAAACGTAAACTAAAGCGCTCTGCTGTGATTGCACTCCGTAAATTGGTGCATGCTGAGAAATATCAAACAAGAAAACTCGGTGATGGACGCCGTGAGATGGAGTAGCGCTGTGTGGCAAAGAAATGCGGCCAATTCGACGGGCCTGAAAAATCCAAATTGGCTTTTGTGATCCGCATCCGCGGTATCAACAAAGTTGCACAAAAAGTGCGTAGTTTTACAGTTCTGTCTTCGCCACATTAAAACGGTGTGTTCATCAAATTGAGCAAGGCAACTATTAATATGCTACGTATGCCGAACCCCCTATATGGGGTTATCCAAATCTTAAATCAGTTTGTGAATTAATGTACAAACGTGGAATGGTCAAGCGTGTCCCAATCTCTGCTTTGTGATCGAACGCAAATTTCGCGAAGCGCACGAAATTCAGTGCGTTGATTCACTTCACTTCAAGAAAGCCCCCAGCTTCCTGTTGCTATTCAAGCTCAACACATCAACCCGAGGCTGGCGGAAGAAGGCTAATCACTACGTTGAGGTTGGTGATTTCAGTAGCCGTGAGGATAAGGTCAACAAATTGCTGCACAAGATGACTTAAAGAAATTGTTGTTTTGTATTTAAGTCGACAATATAATTTGGCACATCTTCATCATTTTACGGTTGAATTGCAATTTACACGGGTAGATTTTGGTTAAACGACAAAAATCGACCGTGTAAAGGCAGCTTAAATAACGTTCATATTAATTAATTTCGAAAATTATTCCATTTATATTTGTTCTTGCATTTTCCACACCACTTGTGAGGTATGCTTTTACGCGCGTTACCGATTTTTTTTAATGTGCTCGGTTGCCCAGGAGGCCTATTTTCATCTTTACAACTTAACTTAATCAGAATTAAAACTAAAGCATGCAATATATAAAGAAAATGAAAAGTTGTCTTACATCTAGTAAACTTAAAAAATTGCACATTAAATTCATTTTTCATTATAAAATAAAATTAAATGTCACAATTCCGTTTACAAAATGTGGTCTGTTTGCACCCACAGTAAGTTCCCATGAAGCCTAGCCTAAATTCAGAATTGAAAAAAAAAAACGAGCAAATGGGGTCGGAAATTACTAGCCCTAAAAGCATAATGTGGAAAATGTTTGAAGAGCTGCGAAAGTGTATTGCAATAATAAAAATAACAGTGCATAAATTGGAAAAAATGGTTTTTGTTTTGCTTTATAATTTTTGGGAATATTGGTTCAGATCAAGGGGAATTAATATAAGGTGATAGCAGGAGTACAAAACAAAAATTTACATATATTTTGTTTTTGCTTTGGCGGCATAAACTGTAAAAATGGAATTTTTTTATTTGTTTGGTTTTTCAGCTCGTTAATGATGCACCCAAGGTTGCATTTACTGTCTATGAAAATATTTCGTATTTTCCAAAATTAGCTCCGAGCAACTAAAAGTTGGTTAAGCTTAAGTGAAATAGTTTTTTATTAAATATTTATTCCTGGTATTTAGTAAAAAACATCAATACTAATGTATGAAAAACAAAACATCAATGCTAATGTATGAAATGAAGTAAATAAAAATCTACGAATACATTCCATGAATATTTTGTCATAGAGCCATTATTAAATTTAGACATAACTTTGTCAGGCGTTGGTACCTACGTATATAGAATTAATGCGTTGGAGAGAGATAAATAAACAAGTTCAACGCGCTAATTTAGGTATCCTTGTATGTATATACCTGTTACTCGTCTGGCATATACTCCAACTGCGAAAATAATGACAATTATAATTTATGTAGATCACTGGATAAAAGATTGTCACAAGTTACTTTCGGTAACTCACGATTGAAGTTTGGAATGCAATTTCTCAGGAACTAGACTACAGATTTTCTCCAAAGTGTCGGAGAACGCTATGTACTAGTTCATGAAATTCTTAAATTTTTTATTTTTTTAGTTTAGTGTCAACCATTTAGGAGTTTAATAAAATTTTGTCGAATACGATATTTGTCAAAAAATTTGCAGTCAGTTTCAATGATATACGCCAAAATGTGATAAAAATTTTTATAAATTAACGATACTTTTTACTAATCCGCCTAATCGTGAGTTTCGCCCGAACCAAATTTCGCCAACAGTTTTTTCATCCACCTGTAGTGAATACACGCAAACGAAAAGTAAAAAGTGACCCGGTTCTAGAAAATGAAACTCATGATAAAACTGAATATGTCGGAAACTAAAGAAGAACAGATAACTCTATTTGAAAGATTTTGATTAGTTTAGTACGACAGCAATACTAACGCAATTTGTACCAAATAACCGAAAACATTTTAGTCAATTAGTCGGAAACTAAAGAAGATATCCAAAAACCACAAATTGTCAAAATGACGCTTCCGGCAATTTTCCATCCAGGCGACGATATTTGAATAGGTTTGTATAGTTACCAATAGTCAGTACTAATTTGTACTGGAACCTGCAAACTTTTACTGGAAAAGTGTATGATAACCCAAAAAATTTGCAAGAGAGCACTGAATCGAGAGCGTAACAACACGAGAGAGCTGCAAATTCTTGCTAGTGAAATTTTTACTAGCAGAAATTAGCTAGCAGAAGAAGAAGAAGAATAAATGTCAAAAGAATATATAAAAAGTGGTGTTACTAGCTCAGTTGATTTTGTGTATGTGTTTCGCCGCACGGCTTCTGATATCTGATATCAAATTGAAAAATTTTGTTTGAATTTCTACACACACTTACAGATTTTGACAGTTTATGCCGCCAAAGCAAAAACAAAATACATGTAAATTTTTGTTTTTGTACTCCTGCTATCACCTTATATTGATTCGCCTTGGCACAAACAAAAGTAAAATGAGTGGAAATCATAATATTAATGATGTACTGGACAGTGTAAGTGCTTGTGTGTAAAGCAAAGAGTTTAAAACTGATTTATAAATAGTAAAATGTTTACAGCAGATTGTCAAAGCAGTGCAACAACTGTTCTCTTGCAAGTTTTTGCTAGTTTTGTGTTCAATAACCTCTTCTGCTAGTTTTCTCTTCTCAATTTTACGCTCTATTTTGCTTTTACGCTCTCGCTGCAATGTTTTACTGGAGAAGTTACTATACAAACCTAATGTTACTCGCATATTTTCGAGCCTGTATGTAAATTTTCGGGAAAAAGGTTAAAAAGTATATTCATCTGCTGAAAAGATATTTTCGCAGATTCACAATTTATTTAAAATAAATCTATCAGCCCTATCTCCAATTCTATGTGAATAAATCTCACCAGTGCTTAAATAATTTTCACCACATTAAATAGCTGCACAACACCCTAATTGCCGAAAAAGCGTTGCTTGCAACACTAGTCCTTTATGGGGACCAAACTTGGTGAAAAAAAATAGCTAAGTTTGTTTACTGGATATACTGAGACCAAAACAATAAACAAAAAAAATAGGACTCTGATCTCTCGAATGAGATTCAACTTCGTACGATAACAACTTGGCAATCCAGCGAATAGATATTTTGAAAACTTTCCATGTTGATACTGATGGAAATGATACAGTAAATATTTGCTCACCTTGCATGGTAAAGGTAAATATTATGTACCAGTGTTAAACATATAAATAACCATTGCATTTTGTGGGCCCCTGTATATGTAGTTGGATGCAAGTTCGTAGCCATAGTGTGGAGAACCAAAGAGTGCCTTCATTTTGGAAATAGACTACAACAAACGTCTCATGTATGTATTAACCCATATTATGTGTATAAGTATGTATGCATGTGTGCACTTAAACAATATTTTCTATTGCATTTTTTATTTTTCAGTGCAAATCGTCCGAATCGTCGTTCCGAAGATGTTACTAAAGATTAGACATGCGCTGCTAGAGATCAGTAATCACCCAGTGACTAAACAGTCGGCTATTATTATAAACAATGAAATTATTATTACTTCTGGCTGTATACTCCAGCCATATGTACTTCCAAAAACGCCATTCGTGGCAGACCCAAATATAGAGGATGTCTGCCCCAGCACGAAAATCCTACATAAATTACATCAATGTCAGCTAATTAATGTGCAAGAGGGTAATAGTGATGAAGCGAAGCATTTGAATGCGCTGAACTACCAGGTGACATTCGATCGACGCAAATTACCACCACCTAATGAACGGCGGAGGCAGCCGCATATACTAACGCGTTACTGTGCCAAATTGCTGTTTCTCTTCAGTTCAGCGGATATTTCGCGACATGTATTACGTTTTCTGGGTAAGGACAATACAGCGGCCGAATCTAAACCCAACAACGAAGTGCTGCTTTCCAGTTTTCTGGTGTTAACCATGCGTTGCGATGGCGGAAAAGAGAATTTTGATCGATTCTTACGGCATATTGAACATTACTTACGCTATCTGCAACCAATTCATACTTTGGACGATGTACTGGTTATGTGCACGCCATTCGGCTTGGAAAACTTCTTTAAGACAATAAGCATCGGCAAAGTATCGAATGTGATGGGCCGCGATGGTTGTCTATTTGTGCTGTCAAATGCGTTGGCGCTAGGTTGTGAAGGTGCAGCTGTGTTCAATAATAAGCTGTATGTATAGTTTTCTTTATGCCTAAAAAGTAAAGTATGATGAGATGCATGTACATATGTATTTTTAGGCGCTTGATTGGCATGATAATGTGCACTTCCTTTCAGCGGCAACAGGAGAATGTCAACTTGACTTTAGCGGCGAATTTCGCTTTTATGCTACGCGATTTTATGCGTCAATTAGGCTTAAATATAACTTCTATTCGGGTGCCGAGAGATTCATCAAATTTTCCATGTACTATATAAGAGTGTATCCGCATGTTTGAATGAAAACTGATGCTTGTTCATTTTTATTCGCAGGGGAGCGCGCTATGGTTGTAATTGAGGCAGCTGGCAGTCAAGGCACTGGTACATTTGTAAAGGTGCTGAATAAGAAATTTATACTCACATGCACACATGTCGTCTTCAAGGTAATGGGTGTAAATTTTGAAACAAAGCGCTACACTTTCAATTATAAACCACAAGCTACCGTCTGATTGGTTTTGAATTTTAACATTTAACTCGAATCCTCTGCCATATTTTGAAAATGCAGTGCTCGCTTTTATGATTTAATTTACTCTTATTTTCTTTTCTTGCAATTCTTAGCTAAATTCCAAGGCATTTTGTCGCAGCGTAGATGGAGAATTCGAGTCGGAAGTGCTTTGGCGTAATCCACAATGCGACCAACCTTTTGATGTTGCCTTACTGGCTGCACCAGATAACATTCCAGAACGCTATTGTGTACGTTTGTCCAATGCCAAACCGTCGCTCGGCCAAACGGTCTATAATGCAGGCTTTCCCTACTTCGTTAACTTCAATTTGAAATACGATTTCAATCCAGCCATATTTCAAGGACGCATTATTAAATGTTCACCTGGCGCGATTATGTCTGACGGTTGTGTACAGGCTGGACAGAGTGGAGGTCCAATGTTTGATGATCAGGGTTGTATTTTGGGCATCTGTGTGTCAAATATAAAAGTTGGAAATGTGGTGTACCCGAATTTAAATACTGCAGTGCCTATTTACCAAATACGAACATGGTTGGAGCAATATGCGCGGACGAATGGTGAGTAGTGCTTCGTTGAAAGTAGATGTTTGCACCTCAGTGATGTTTTGTTTTAATTATTTCCAGACATAAAAGTATTAAGTAACTTGGTGGCTAATAAGGAAATGCAGCGTATATGGGCTTTAGAAGCGCCGCCGATTTTAAGTAAATTATAGTAGGTAAACATGAAATGGTGGTATTCTTGAAACTAATGGTGTTACATCAAGCGTCCACTTCCTAACATACATACATACATATTACGGCAACCCTTAAAATATAAACATTATGTAGTACCCTTCATTTTGTCTATATGAATAAGTTTCAATAATAGAAATTTTAAATTTATAAGATTTCTTCAAGTAAAAATTTTGTAGAATTTTTGCGATATTTTTTTTTTTCTTAAACCCTGGTAGTAACTAAAATAACTTGCTTTAAATTTTCTAGATGGTTTTAATTTTATATGCAGAACAAAACAAAAGGGTGCTCCACATAAAATTTATATGTTATTTTAAGGACCTTCGTAACACTATGTTTGTGTATATAAATCAATAATTATTAATTTGATTTTCAAGCATACTCAAATGTATAGAAATGTTTTACAAATTTGTAAACCCAAGTGATTTAAATATAAATATTAGATATATTCACGACCCGGTGCATACTGTTTAGCATGGTGCATACATATCATAAATAAATAGCAATAGTTGTTTTTCATGTGTTTGGATAACAACAAAATATGCCAATCATGCTCTTTAAGCTATCTATGCACCATGCTAGACATTGTGCACCGGATTGTGAATACCCCCATTATATATGTACATAAATATATCATTACTTTAGTTAATATAGAATGACCCTAATTGTTCCTCACCTTAGGAGCCCTCCCTTCTATAGTAAAAAATTTGTACATATATATTGAGTTCAAACTTCAATAAACAAGTATGTATGTATTTTGTTTAATTAAATGTCTTAAAATAATATGAAAATATTTACGTAAATATGGTTGTATAAGCAGGTATAATTGCATTTGCATTTATGTGTCAATCTGCCCAATGAAACATAAACTTTTTAGCAGAAAAAATGTTTATGTATGCACATTTTGATCCAAACATTGGTTGACATGCTCTTGCAAACTATTCAAGGAATTGCAGGCTATAGAGCACACTGGGCATGTATGCTGAGGAGCCATCGGTGCGGCTGCTGTTGCCGGAGGATTGGTTTTCTGTAAATAGTATTTCTATTTGATTTGTGTATATCTTCATACCTAATTATTATTCAATTATAAACTTACTCTAGAAACCGATACTAATGGCGCTGGGCTGCTTCTTTCTGCGGTAATGGCTGTTATGCGCTCCTCCAGCTGGCTTAATTGCTCGGTCAGGCTTTGATTTTTGCGTTGCAATGCTCGCAGATCATCCAGGAGTTGAGCCTTTTCGCCAGCCATTTCCTCGCGTGCAGTGCGTTCCAATTGAAAGTCGCGGCTGTAGACATCCACTTGTTGACGCAATATACCAAGTTCTTCGCGCATTTCATCGCGTTGCCTAGCATGCACTTCAAACTGTTCTGTTTTTTCCTTGTCACTGGCTTTGAGCAAAGCTATATCGGACTGAAGCTGATTGACCAACTCTTCCGAAGCAGTCAAATTTACTTTAAGGCAATTTATTTCATCGATGTACTGTTTTTGCTGTGTTACGAGTTGAATAAAAAGGACATATACTTAATAATATGAATAATGGCCGAAATCACACTGAACATACCATGTCGGAGACTTCCAACTTCTCTGCTAGTAAACTCGACATATTGCGTTCAAAATCCTTTACAATGCGCTCGTGCTCGAGTCGTGTCACATACTCGGATTTTTCCGGCTGCTTTTCGTTTTTGCCGAATTTGGAAATAACTTCAAACGATGACTACAAAAATATTTCAGTACATTATTATACTTCTACTCAAAATTTTCCAAAAAAAAGACTTAATTTTTGGCTCCGGACTTACAAGTTGCTGCATTTCTAATTTTTCAATTTGTGTTCGCATGTTGGCGATTAATGCAGTTTTCTCTGAAATATTCTTTACAAGCTCGTCATGTTCTAGTTTTCGCACGGCCTCGTATGCCTGGACTTGTTCGAGTTTACTTTCTAATTCACGTTTTAATTCCAAGTTCTCATTTCGCAACTAAACGCGGAAAAATATGAAATCAAAGACTCTTTAATGTGTAATGTACGGCATTCTCTTACCGCAGCAATTTGCTCCTGGCATTGTTCCAACTTCTGCCGATTTTCAAGCTCATTGGCCTGCATCTGCTTTTTCATATCAAGCCAGGAACCCATTTTGTTATTGACTTGTATAATTAGTTCTTAAAATAACAAAGATAAATTAGTGTCTATTCTATTATAATCAAGGCTATCACTGAATCCGTCGTAGTTCGAATTTTCGTGAAATCTACGAAGAAGCTATCACTGAATTCGAATAGCTACAAACGAAGCATACACTTTGAGTGCATACGTTCGTAGCAATGCGGATTCAGTGATCGCGTTTTCGTACAGCGATAGCCCAAAATGAATAATTTAGAGCGCACCTTTCATTTTTAGATAGTCACTCATAACTGTCGTAAGTTCCTCGCAATCCTCTAATGACACGCTTGGAAATTGTGAGTGCAAACTCGCCTGAAAGTATAAATTTGTTTTTTGATTTAACAAATCGCCTTTTTTTGAAACTTGTGTAGTAAATATCTACTTACCTTTAAAGCATCTACTGGCACTTGACCCATTATATAGCTCACAGCTAAGGAATTTGTGACTTCCTCTTTAGTATTAGTTTCATTTTCCATGGAAACCTTCAAGCTACTTTTGGCGATAATATCCGAATTTTTCTTCTCTTGCATATCGATATCATCTTGCTGTAGGTCACCCTTGCTAGTGGATAATCCACTTTTATCCACGAGGGACTCTCCGTTCTTTTCCCAGATTTTATAAGATCGCTCAGAGCAAATAGAAGTTTCAAGTGCTTTAGCAGTGGTCTCACCACTTTTCTTCCATATTTCACTACTTTTTGACAACTCAGAGTGAGTGGATGTGTCAAGTGTTTTAGTTGCGGAAGCCAATGCAGTTTTTATTGAGCTAAACTTGGCATCATTTAATATAGGTTGCATTACTTCGGCTTGAATAACACTCTTTACACTTTGCTGCTCAGTATCTGTATTTTTGGATTCACTCATAGAATTCAAAGAATTCGGTTGGGAGCAGCTGCCCAAAATTACAAAGGATTCTTCCTCTGCCATCTCGAGTTGCGCCTGTTGATAAAAAAAAAAAAACAAAGATTTCATGTTATGGATTTGGACCTGGGATTTCCCCTTATTAAGATAATGCGATGCATTTTTTATCACTCCTTTATTTGCCTTATTCGTTTTAATGATTCACCAACGGAAAAGAGAAAAAATATCTATGAACTCACCAATTATTACAGCACGATGATAAACTCAAATATTGATGAAATATTAATGGCGATACCAAAGCCTTTCAAATTTGGAAAATAATTAACAGGAGAAATTGCTTGTTTGGCTTAATTTTAAAATTGTATTTTTTAACTTACGCCGCAAAATGTCTACAGAAAAGTGAAGAAAAGTATAAATAATCAACACGGCCTATTTATGATCGACTTCGAAAGTAGTGATCGGAAACATCGATGTATCGTTGTTATGAAAAATCCGATAACAGCGATTTTCCACTATTTAACATCGATTTATATTCTTTCTATGTTTTCATATAAATATAATCTCAATCAAAGCTTGTTTTTTTTAATCACCCGGTTCAGCACAGGCAAATCACATATTATTAGCCGTCAAATTTGTGGTGTTTATTATTCTCGCATCTCAAGACAAAGTTAAGTTCCTTCTCTGTGTGTGTAATTGACGGACCTCTCTAGCAATAAAATAGTATGGTTGTTCACACTTGCCTGGTTATCAGGTTATCTGGTTATGTTGCAATTTTTTATTCACTTTACAACAATAAAATACACTGAAGAATAATAATTTTTAACCAGATAACCTGATAACGAGGCAAGTGTGAACAACCAAAGTGATTTTTTACGTAGACATCGATGTTAGCAAAAATCGATGTTTCCGTTTCCAAACATCGAAGTTTTCCCATTTCTATTCGGAAACCGAATTTCGAAAAT